ACTCGAGGGTTGGTTTTAGTTGTACGGATTGCTTATCTGAGTGTGCCCTGAGAATGAGATATGTGCAGCTCCTATCGGGATTTGTCGGCACATTCGGGCGGTGTTGCTGGACTTGTTTTACCATTGTCGAGGATGTCATGTAACCGGGATACCGAGTCTGATCGGATTGCCTTGGGAGAAGGAATATCCTTCGTTGACCGTGAGAGCTTGTGATGGGCTAAGTTGGGACTCCCCTGCAGGGATTTGAACTTTTGAAGGCCGTGCCCGCGGTTATGGACAGATGGGAATTTGTTAATATCCGGTTGTAGATAACATGAAACTTAACTTAATTAAAAATGCACCACCCGCGTGTGTTACCGTGATGGTCTCTTCTCGGCGGAGTCCGGGAAGTGAACACGGTGTTGGAGTAATGTTTGACGTAGGTTGTTTTAGGATCACTTCTTGATCATAGTTGTTCGACCGTGCTCTTGTCTTCTCTTCTCGCTCTCTTTTGCGAATAGGTTAGCCACCATATATGCTAGTCGCTTGCTGCAGCTCCACATCATACCTTGCCTTACCTATAAGCTTAAATAGTCTTGATCGCGAGGGTGCGAGATTGCTGAGTCCCCGTGACTCACAGTTTACTTCCAAACCAGATGCAGGGACCGATGATACCGCTCCAGACGATGCGTTTGAACTCAAGTGGGAGTTCGATGAAGACTCCTGTTGTTACTATGTGTCTTTCCCAGATGATCAATAGTGGTGCCTAGTTAGGGCGATCGAGGACCGTGTCGCATGTGAGGGTTGATCTTTATTTTCGTACTATAGTCGGACCATGAGTGTATTGGATGATTGTAATGTTATTCATGTATTTGTATGACGTGGCGAGTGTAAGCCAACTATGTATCATTTTCCCCTTTTATTTATTTACATGGATTGTTGTGAAGTTTACCTTACTTACGACATTGCTTTCAATGCAATTATGCATCTAAGTCGTGCTTCGACACGTAGGAGATATAGCCGCATCGAGGGCGTTACAATTTAGATCACTACTTTAGTAATCTAAACAGAGGGAGTACTATCTAAATAAATTGAATCCCTTCGCATTAAAAAAATTAACCAGTGGGAGTATTTCTTTTCTCTCTAATATAAGGGAGAAAATGAAGTGTATGGCTGCATGCACGCCTGACTGACCGAGCACATCCGCGGACATTTAGAGAGGCAGATTTGTTATTTCTGGCTGTAGATGGCCTAACAGCAATAAATTCCAAGAGAACATGCCCTTCAACTTCTGAGCGTTGTTCAACTTTCTTTTTCATCAAAATATTAGTTCCTCCCACCCAAAATATAAGATCACTTGAGCTTATATTTTGAGACCGAAGGAGTAGAACGCTGACCAAGACATGTATTTATAGAGCATAATCTAAGATACCGGCATGGTACATACATAACATGGATAGTGTCAACAACGATGAACATCAGGTAGCTCTAAAAGTTTAGTCAAGGTCCTAGCAAACACCAACAGTTAAAACGGGGGCATCGCATCATGCAGCCACAAGGATGATAAATCAGGTTAACTGATCTCGCTTCCGCCGCAGGATTATTGCAGCCCAGGTTTATCCATAACCCCAAGAGCTTCTCCACTGATGCTGCAGCTCCATGAGGAACCGAACGGACGACAACTGTTGTTACTTCCACGGAAGGCAGGGCAATCTGCAAGAAATTATTGTAAATAGTAAATGTAAAATGAGCAAAATACTATGTTACTTCACAAAACAGGGATACAAAAACAATGGGGGGAATCATTAAAAAAAACTTTGGTTGGTTTAACAATGCACCACACAAGTTTCAGTGCTTTCGAATCAATCTTCTGTAATTTAAATTAGTACAACAGTATGCTGCAAGCAAAATTGGTTTTAGAAGTATCCTGCAACAAATGGTTATTCAAATTTTCTTGGTAAAAGAATGGTTATTCCAAATAGCTAAATATGCCATCCAATTCTCTAATTTGACAAGCGCAAGAAAAGAGAGATATGACATGAGATTCTACTATTTATCACAATCAAAATGATGAATATCCCATGCGAATATGTTATCATGAGTTTGCACGAACATAATTAAAAAGCATATGCTTAGCACTACCACGTAACTCAAAAATATGATTTATTTCCAGTAGATGCTAAGATCATGACAATAGTATGAGTTCGCAATTTGAATGGTTCCAACTTCACAGGGGTGCCAATTAATCAGTACGAGTTTGCAATTTAAATTGTTCCAACTTCACAGGGGTGCCAATTAATCAGAATTAGGCTCAAATCCGAACCGAAATATATTTCCTCTCAAATCCTACATATGTGGATTAATGTTAAACTGCTAATAGGGGTTAACCTAACCTAAATACAGTCTGGGTCCAGGTTTAAGTCTAACAGATTAATACAACCAAAATAAAAGCAAATGAACAGTGGGTAGGTTGCAGACTCCCGTGGAATATGAATTGTAACGTCTAGGGTTATGGATCCCAATCTAAACATCTTTGAGTATATCAAAGTTCTAAGCTAAATAATGGATATATTAAAATCGATCTAGTATTTATTTGGTAACTTTTTGAGAATTTATTAACACAGCTCAGCTCATACGATCATATCCACATCAATATCAACCAGGAAGCTGCAATCCATATCTATACCGCTGTCCACTGATAGATACCAAGTCACTAAGTACAGAACCAATCCCTCCGTTCCATAATATAGGACGTTTTTGCAAGCTAACATAGCTTGCAAAAAGTCTTTACATTGCAGGGCGGAAGGAGTATATGGATCTACATTTAAAAAGACTTGATAATTTCGTAGAAGCGACATCGCTCTTGGAAACTCACCCTAATTTCAGGGAAACATCGGAACCATCATCATTATCCTGTGAACTTCCGGAGTGTAATGCAGTCATGACGGATTCCGAGGACTGCCCATCTTCAGCAACAACATTTTCGGTATCAGCAACCACTAGCTTGCCAGCTGTTGGAATCTGGCCTACCTGCATCCAGATAAAACAAAGCAAATAGAAATTAGTATTCAGATGGACTGCACTGAAAAATAACAATACAGATATTGACTAAAGAAAGTTGAGTTTCAAGTACATACTTGGTTCCTTGGTTTCATGTTCTCCTCTGCCAGTTGTGAACTCTGTGGTACAATATGCAAGTGGTACAACATTTATTAGTTTTACAACTTATCTCTACAGACAAGGGTACTTCAAAACAATAAATCAACATTCTACCGTTCATCTAATTCTCTATGTGTTTAACTTCCAACAGCTTTCAAGCAGTAAGTGCAAGCTTTTCCCTTCATATAGGCATATAGCTGCCACAATGTGGAAGGTAGTCCTTATTTTGCATGCTAGATTGGTAAATGATGACAGACCAAGTAGAACATACTCCCTCTGTCCCAAAATTGTACTAAGGTCAAGACACTTCTTTTGGGACGGAGGGAGTATATAGGCCATTGAGTTTTTTATTTCATCAAATGGGAACTTATGCCTCCATCTTCAAACCAGTCAAAATAATTAATTTTATATAAGGTGAAAAGGGACAGCAAATATAACTAGCAGTATGGTCTGCTAAACTGAACCATAAGTAGAACATAAAAATACATCAAAATGTTAAGAGGTGGATAAAGTAACGTATATTGGATAAAATAAAATAAGAATATTTAGTCATTTACACATGTAAACAACAGAAAACAATATACTTTCTTGCTTTGGTACTGAAAGGCATAATGAAGTTAAAAAGGCTGTCCACATATGCAAACACTAAATTGTCGTACTATCTTCTCTCTGGTTTAAGCACTCGATCACATGGTCTGTTATATTTGCTTGCATCTTTTAAAAGGATGGTGCTCAAGAATTCAGACTCTGAACATATCCCTATTTTCCTATTTTAGTACACAAGGCTCCAATAAAGTTGCAAAAATTCAGTTGTACTATCCAACCACAAAAACATGAATAATTTCTTCTTTGTTAGCGGACAATACACAAAATTATTGTTTATATACAAAATATTCTATTAAGAATGAATCAGTGGATGTAAAAATGTAAAAATTAAGAAATTAATGTAACATTTGGCTTTATTTATTTAAAACAAATCCATGGTTCTTCACCTAAAATAATGACGTCAAAATTGATCTTGCAATAAGTTGTACCTTTCGATGCAGTTCATTTATCTGTTCCAAGAATTGTTGATCCTGCAAAATCATACAGCCCGCTAAATAGTTGCTCTTTTTGAGCCTGATTAGAAGGGAACTTTGAAAAATGACATGTTCAGTGACCGTACTTTTGTCTGAAGCACCCTGTGCAGACCAGTTTCTAGGTTTTTCTCCAACTGCTGGAGTTCATCAACACTCAACCCCTCAAGCTCCTCACCTCTCATCTGTCTATAGGTTGGACAAGAATTGCCATTATTATATATGGAATTGCAAAATAAATTCAGCATGGATCATGTAAAAATATAATGGGGAGAACATAACCTTAGTCGAAGACTAGCTTCTGCAAGCTGATCGTTCAAATTTGCATACTTGCTATGCTCTAACTGAAAATAGAAATGCGCCAGCATGTCAGTACTAATTTGATTAAGAAATTTAATCAACCAAATCGCAACTACCTTCATATACCAAGAGGAGTTTATAAATGAATACTATCAATGCATTCAGAAAAGGCAGTAATTATCATATTGCAATAGCTGATAAATTTTTTTGCCTACATTTTGCCCAAGGCTTCTACTTTATAAAGTGTTGACATCCATTAATAAAAATAAGGAAGAGAAGTACACCTTTTCACAGCTATCATGAACAATAAGTGTTGTGGTTAACTAAAACAACGACACTTATTTTGGGACAGAGGGAGTATTATATGTGGCCTAACACCCAACTCAAAAAAAACTTGAAAAGGGTGTGGTTGTTTTAAAAAATTCAATAATTAAATTTTAGAGTTTCAAAAAATTCTACATGATTTTGTCTTTTTTGTGTAGATCTCACCATAATATATATATCATCTTCAAAAATTGCATACATGTAGGATACATCCATATGAATGTGTATGATTTTTTTCAAAAAAAAATAGTAACTTCAAAATATGATTTTTCTTTTCTTTTTTCAAAATAACCACCTCCATCAAGGTCGCCCGCCATTGGCATTTTGGGATAGAAGATACTGCTTTTCAACTTTCAAGTATTCTTTATAGCAAAGTTTCGCTTCAATGGTTTTAGATGGGGAAAATGCATTTATATGAAGGTTTGTGCTAGATTAGGCCTTGAATATAAGATATTTTATTTTGGGCCACATCCTTATATTGCTTATGTAACTCCGCCTATGTTGTCTCAACATAGCCGGTCCCAAGCCCGGGTAAAGGAGGAGGGTTGTGATAGGCTTGGCGAGCCAACGTAAAAACTCAGCCACTCTTATGGAGATGAAACCCAAAAGATTTTCGTTGGGGCGTAACCCTCTCAGCGACGCGCCACATCGGAACCCGGGTGTGGTGGAAAATGGGCAAGGGCCGGGCCGTCACCCCCCAAGTGGCGCGCCGTATCTTGATCCGGATACGGTGGCAAGTGAGCGAGGATCGGGTCGTCGCATCCTTAGTGGCGCGCTACATCGGCGCCCGGATGTAGTGGAAAATGAGCAAGGGTCTTCGCATTTGACTCGACGAGTGCGAAGGGTAAGGAAGCTAGCCGAGCCTAGGAGGATTCGCTTAGGTAGCTGGAACGTAGGGTCCCTGACAGGGAAGCTTCGGGAGCTAGTTGATGCAGCAGTGAGGAGAGGTGTTGATATCCTTTGCGTCCAAGAAACCAAATGGAGAGGACAGAAGGCGAAGGAGGTGGAGGATACCGGCTTCAAGCTGTGGTACACGGGGACGGCCGCAAACAGAAATGGCGTAGGCATCTTGATCAACAAGAGCCTCAAGTATGGAGTGGTAGACGTCAGGAGACGTGGGGACCGGATTATCCTGGTCAAGCTGGTAGCTGAGGACTTGGTTCTCAATGTTATCAGCGCATATGCCCCGCAAGTAGGCCACAATGAGAACACCAAGAGGGAGTTCTAGGAAGGCTTGGAAGACATGGTTAGGAGTGTACCGATTGGTGAGAAGCTCTTCATAGGAGGAGACCTCAATGGCCACGTGGGTACATCTAACACAGGTTTTGAAGGGGCGCATGGGGGCTTTGGCTATGGCATCAGGAATCAAGAAGGAGAAGATGTCTTAAGCTTTGCTCTAGCCTACAACATGATTGTAGCTAACACCCTCTTTAGAAAGAGAGAAGCACAACTGGTGACTTTTAGTAGTGGCCAACACTCTAGCCAGATTGATTTCATCCTCTCGAGAAGAGAAGATAGGCGTGCGTGCCTAGACTGTAAGGTGATACCTGGGGAGAGTGTTGTACCCCAGCATAAGCTGGTGGTTGCTGACTTCCGCTTTCGGATTCGTGTCCAGCGGGATAAGCGTGCCAAGGTCGCTAGAACGAAGTGGTGGAAGCTCAAGGGGGAGGTAGCTCAGGTGTTCAAGGAGAGGGTATTTAAGGAGGGCCCTTGGGAGGAAGGAGGGGATGCGGACAATGTGTGGATGAAGATGGCGACTTGCATTCGTAAGGTGGCCTCGGAGGAGTTTGGAGTGTCCAGGGGAAGGAGAAGCGAAGATAAGGATACCTGGTGGTGGAATGATGATGTCCAGAAGGCGCTTAAAGAGAAGAAAGATTGCTTCAGACGCCTATACCTGGATAGGAGTG